TTGAATTAATAATCATCTTTATACAGGAAATCATTAATCATCAAATATCTCTGCGAGTTTCTCGGAAAATAACCATATCTCATCACAAAACTCAAAATCAGAAAAGCTGCTGACACTCCAGCACAAGAGGCGACTAGGCACACTGAGCATTTATAACAGTCAACATAGCGAGCAATATATTACTCCACAAGGTTCCTTTCGAAGGTGGCGAGAACAGCTGCTGCAACGTCGGACTAAGGCACCCTGCAAATCAATGCCAGCACTTGCATTATCAGTCGCTTTGCCCATTTAATAAGGAAGTAAGGCACTGCGAAATTATCTTTTTTTAATTTGCAATATTCGAGGGGAAAATGCAGTCATGGACTAACAGACATCGAGGACTACAGCTGCATCAACACTGCCATTCAAAGTTAGCAAGCCAAAAACTATTTGTTAAGGCTCCAGTTTACGAGAACCTAACACTGTTACACTGTTTAATTTTGGTTCCTTTTGCTGAACCCCAAAGTTTGGTGTGGACCAAGAAATAATTGTTTTAAGTTGACGTTTTGATATTCAGGAAAACAGGATCTCTGTGGAGAAAGCAACATCTCTGCTCGGCCTTCTGTTTAAAGCCATTTTCCTTACATGATCTCTTTAAATCCACACGTTCTGTTTTCTTTTGGGAGACAACACTGACACCATTGCTTATGGAAGTCGAAAATTTTCTACACACAGAGTCGAACAGAATGCCTCGCTTGTTAAACGTCAGGTTGAGACAACTTGGGAAAGAGAGCATCGTGCTTACTGCCTAGTATCATAAATAAAAAAAACCTGATAAGTACAATTTTGGTATATACAAAGCATCTTTAAGAAGTGTTACGGTGCTACCAATTGGGGTAAAGAGCAACAGACTGTCAAACAATGCAGAGTTTTTAACAACAAACAGCACATCCACCATTATGTACTTTTATTTTTTTATTTTTTTACACCACGACAAGAAATGCACCGGAGTCTTTTCTTTCATAGCGAAGCACTCAACAATTAATCAAATACTTCCTTCTTTTTTCCCATACCTTTTCATCTGTCTATATAGCACACAAAGGAAGAGACACCAAGGCAAAAAGACCTCCTTAAGGTAACATAGAAGTCCCAACATGACCCCCATTTACATGTGCAGTGACGTAGTGTTTACCTCATTTCACAAATACTTTTCCTGTCTCGCCAACACTCTTCAGCGTAAACTGATTATAAGTACAGTTAGAAAAAACACACTCCACTCTCCTCTTTTGTATATTTACACACTCTCATAACACCTTAGTTCTCTTTTTTATTTTGTGTTTGTTTGTTTAATCTTCCCTCCCCGGACGCTATCATCAATTATTCCGTAATCATGCTGAGCTCAGAGGCAGTAAGACATCTTCCTCTTGATTCGACACTTCTGGCAGGTGACTTCACAGCAGAACTTGAAGCGACATCTGCAGTTCTCTTCCAGCTGCGAACACGGGAGAAAACATGAGCATATTGCATAAAAGAGAAAAATTATTTATTTCCCTTATCAACGAATCAATATACATTACCAAAACCTGATAAAAGAATATGAATAGAAAAAAACTTCCAATATTCTCATGAATATATCTAATTCTATAGCATATTAGCTAAGGAACAAAATATCTTTTTATCATTATTTTTTTCTTTTACAATCTTGCTCTCATAAAATTACGGGGCCATGGCGTCCCTTGCACGTTACAGCTTATCCATCACTAATTAAGGGTCCTACCTTGCGATAACAAACAAGACTTCCCCAGGTAAACAAACCACAGCGAAGTTGTTAGAGCTTCACTAATACTTCGTTTCCAGCCTCCCCCCCCACCCTACCCCCCGCCCCCACACCCCTTCTCTCTTTGTCCAGGGATGCAGCCTCACTCTCTCCTATCCTCTGTATGCGTGGGTGGTCCCTTTCTTTCCTTTCTCTTTCTTTCTTTTCTTTCTCCTTGCTTTCTCGGCTTTGTTAAGGGTGTGGGATGTTGAGATGGCTAGTTGTCTGTTGGTTTGGTTGTAATTCTATGTTGGAATCAGTTTGATGAGCGGTGCGGGCGAATAGTCTGTTTATCTTCTTTGTTTGTTTGTCTCTCCTTCTCTCACTGTGTCTGTCTGTCTGTCTGTCTGTCTCTGTCTGTCTCTGTCTCTGTCTCTGTCTCTCTCTCTCTCTCCTCTCTCTCTCTCTCTCTCTCTCTCTCTCTCTCTCTCTCTCTCTCTCTCTCTCTCTCTCTCTCTCTCTCTCTCTCTCTATCTATCTCTCTATCTCTTCTCTACTCTAGCTCATCTGTCTATACACAGATTAGTTTTTACATTGTGTTTTTGACCATATTATCAACACGGAAGAATGTTTTACCATTCATGTCTATCTATCTCATTCGCCCCCTCCACCCTCTCTCTCCGCCCCCCTCTCTCTCTCTTCTCTCTCTCTCCTCCCTCTCTCTCTATGTCCTCTGTCTCTGTCTCCTCTCTCTCTCTCTCTCTCTCTCTCCTCTCTCCTCTCCTCTCTCTTCTCTCTCTCTCTCTCTCTCTCTCTTCTCTCTCTTCTCTCTCTCTCTCTCTCTCTCTCTCTCTCTCTCTCTCGTCTCTCTCTCTCTCTCTCTCTCTCTTCTTCTCTTCTCTATCTCCTTTCTTCTCTCTCTCTCTCTCTCTATCTATCTATCTCTTCTCTCCTCTCTCTCTCTCTCTCTCTCTCTTTATCTATCTCTTTTATCTATCTCTTACTATCTCTATCTCATTCCTCTCCTTCATCTCTCCATCCCCTTCATCCCCTCCCATCCCCTCCCTCCCCTTACTTTTTCTACCTCTCTTCTCTCTCGCTTTCCAACCTCTTCTATATATCTCAGCCTCCCTTCCTCCCGTCCTCCCTCCTACCTCCCCCCCAAGCTTCCGTTATTCACTTCCTATGCCTCTTACTTTCGTCTTTACTCATTCCTCATTCACCTCCTTCTCTTCAAGCTACTCATCTCTTATATTATTTTCACTTAAAAGTCTTTACTCACCCCTCTCACTTCAATCTCCTATTTATTGGTACTCACCTCTTATACCTCTTGACTCACCCCTTCACTTACCTCCTGCGCCTCTTTACTCACCTCTTTCCTCATTCATCGTTATCTCACTTTCCACTAACTACCGTTACTCACCTTCTGTACCCTCCTTACTCACCTCGTTACTCATTCCCGACTCACCCCTCATTCACCTCCTCCCAACCGTTACTCACCTCTATATCTTCCTTACTCATCTTTCATCCACCTCATTCCCCCAAACTCCCTACCTCCTCCCTCCTTACTCTCCGATACTCCTCCCAACAAACAGCTATACCCTTCTTACTCAGCCCTCATCCACCTCCTTTTCCAAACACCCGTTACTACTCACCTCCTTCCCTTCTTACTCATCCCTCATCACCTCCCTCCCAAACACCGTACTCACCTCCTATACCCTCCTACTCACCCTCTTTACTCATCCTCCAACCGTTACTCACCTCCTATACTTACTCATCCTCACCATCCAAACACTTACTCACTCTCCTATACCCACCATACTCATCCTCTTTACTCACCCCCCCAGACTCACCTCCAATACCTCCTGTCTGATTCCACGCCCGCAGCACATCAGGTCACAGCCAGACATGTCATTCGCTGTTACGTTGCACATCCGACCTTGTGTACCCAGTGACCCCGTTCGCTTGTTAGGCCTGGGGAAAGATGGTAAAATAATGATAATGATAATGGTATGATAGTGATATGTCAGTAATGATGATTATGGGAATGATAATAAAAATGAAAATGATAATAATGGTACTAGAAAGGGTAATGATAATGGTATTGATAGTGATTATGTCAGTAATGATGATTATGGGAATGATAATGGCAATGAAAATGATAATAAGGAGGCTGGAAATAATGATAATGATATCAATGATGATAATTATGATAATGATGATATCAATGATTATTATGATAATGATAATAACAATGAAAATGATAATAATGGTACTAGAAATAACGATTATGATAATATCTATAATGATAATTATGCTATGACAATGACAATGAAAATAATGATGATGATACGAGAAATAATGATTGTGGTAATGATAAAGATAATAATAAAACAACTATAACAATAATAACAATATAACATGCTAATATGAAGCAATTGATTTGTAATCAAGTAGGTTATTCTGACTCTAATGATATTTATGATTTTGTAACTTATATTTATGATTTTGAAACTTACTTGTCTTTATCATAATTTTGCTTGTTAAATCTTAAAATCTTGTAATGTTTACTGCTAATTAACATTTTCAATTCATGTTTAATTACAGTTCTCTTGAAATTTGATTTTTTTTTATTACATGAATTAATTTATCTTTGGATACTAATCCATACAATGGCTTTTTATTTCCTCGATATAATGTACAACTTTTTGATGATGATAAGTCCGATGTAGATTATCTTAAGTATTTTTGTAAACATTAATAATGTAGACAGAGTGATTAAGTTTTCAAATCCTTCTACAGTTAATTTTTGTCTACACAGGATGAAGTGTTGAGAAACGTTCGTTCGGTTTTTTCAGAAGAATATATATATAATATATATATATATATATATTATATATATAATATTATATAATATATAATAATATTATATTTAATATATATATATAATTAGTAAAAACAGATATGAATGTAATGAAAATAACAGAGAAAAAAATATCACATATGCAATAAGAATAATGATATGACAAATTGAAAGA